AGAGGGACGGGGTCGCAGAAGGACGGGTCACAGAGGGACAGAGCCGCAGAGGGACAGGGCCGCAGAGGGACGGGGTCACAGAGGGACAGGGCCGCAGAGGGACGGGGTCGCAGAGGGACAGGGTCACAGAGGGGCAGGGGAGCAGAGGGACAGGGTCGCAGGGGGACGGGGTTCAGTTCAATAATTAACCCAAGTTAACGGCTGGACAGTCTGAGCCAGACTCCGGCCGAGCTGCCAACAGGGACGGTCAGGAGGGAGCTGCCCCGGGCGGGGGCGGGATGAGGGGCAGGAATGTCGCTGCGGCCACTCACCCTGTGCAGGTACCGCATGCAGCTCTCCTCCTCGTAATACTCCTTCAGGGAGTTGTAGCCATGGAACTTCCTGCGGCACACACGGAGGAAAAGGACAAAACAACACGTGTTATCAGACGGGAATGCGGAGCGGACTGGACTCCGGCTCCGGTTCCTGCACGAACTGGCCAGACACACAGTGGAAATACGTGGCACCAGAGTTCGGGTTCAGAGCCCTGGCTCTGGCATGGCTGTGTGACCTCAGGCAAAGGGTTTAACCGCTCTGGCTTCTCCTCTGTAAATGGAGCTGAGCACAGGGCCTGCCTTCACGGCGCTGCGAGATTTCTGAGATTAAAGTGTGTACCAGCACCGCTACCGGCCCAGAGAAACTACTCAATAAGCGTTACCGATAGTGATTATTGGCAGATGTCACATCGTCCGAGGCAGTGTAAAGCCCGATGTCACTAGACACTAAGAAACTGAAACTCAAAGGCATTTGCTAGAACTTTCTCCTGGGCTGGTCTATCAGGACCCTCCCCAGGGAGGGGAGGCGCCGGGCCCTCCTCCAGGACTTGTCTTCCCGAAACCAGTCCCTGGGGTCTCAGGGGCCGGAAGCCCTCCCAGCCTCAGGGTCACTCGTGCCGGGCTTAGGAGGAGGCTGCCCATGGGAACATCGGCCGAACTGCCACTGCCCAGCGCTGTCAGGGCGGAGGCGCTTTAGGGAGAGCGGACGAACATTCTCTCTCGGGCTTCACAAAACTCAGAAGATGAACGGGGGACTGAAATAAGCTGGGGTTTGCTTGTTTTTCTCATTAGACACACCCGTCTGAAGTGAGGGAGGGTAGAATTCATTCTCGCCTTCTAACACACCAGCAATTTCCTCGTTTCTCAACAGGCCTCTTTCAAGGTTACTTGGTGTAAGAAGGTGACTAAGGTCCCATAAGAAAGGCAGGTGCAGATCCCGTACCTGCCTATCCTTTTTTTTTTTAAGTCTTTATTTTTATCTCCCCCCCTTTTTTTTTTTTTTGTCAATCCTCACCCAAGGATATTTTCCCATTGATTTTTACAGAGAGTGGAAGGGAGAGGGAGAGACAGATAGAAACATCGATGCGAGAGAGACACATCGATTGGTTGCCTCCTGCATGTGCCCTGACCAGGGCCGGGGAACCTGCAACCAAGACATGCCCTTGATCACAGTCGAACCTGGGACCCTTCAGTCCACAGGCTGACGCTCTATCCACTTGGCCACACCGGCCACAGCGTGCCTATCTATTGAATGAACCTAAGCTTGCTCTGGACCAGGCCTAAAGGTGTCAAATGATCATTAAATAAAAAGAGGGGCTTAAAAAAATGAGAGAACGACGAGGTCAGAAACCAACTTGACCTTTTCCAGTTAAGACGAACTGGAAACTATTGGTACCAGGAAGGAGGACACTGTCAGGGTGCCGACCTCGGGGCCTGGAGGGGCCGGGCAGGGAGAGGGAGACGGGTGAGGAGGACGGGTTTGTGTATTACACTCGGAGGAGTGTCCACGCCCCAAAGAAAGAGGCTCTGTCATTTTTCCTGCAACACACAGCCCTCTTGGTCTATTATTTTACTTCTGATAGAGACATAGGCAGGGACAAGAAATACTTCCTTTTCCGTTCCCTCCCCTGCAGATGGAGGTGTGTGACGCCTGAGCCCAGCCCGGCGTGGAGCACACGGGCGGGGTGAGCACTGCGGGCAGCTGGGGTGTGACCCCAGGCCCCAGCTCCAGCCCAGTTCCAGCCCCGGTTCCAGCCCAGTTCCAGCCCCAGTTCCAGCAGGGATGCAGAAGGAGGGGGCATCCTCTTCCTACTTTCCAAGATAAACTACAATTTTCATTTTCTGTGAAATCTGCGGGGGTTTTTGTTTGTTTTTGTCTCCCCCCCCCCCCCGTCTTCTGTTGATTTAAACACTAGACATGTATTCAGGGGTGAAAAAAAAGCCCCAAGCACTAAAGAGGGCAGAGAACCCCCGTCCCCCACCCCCCACTGCTGGACAGCCCCGCCTTCGGCCTCCCGCCTGGCCCAGTCTGGAGCGCGCGAGGACCCACCTCATCACGTTGTCGTCGATCTGCATCAGGGACGTGGCCATGTAGAGGCGGCTCAGGTCCGAGTCCTCCAGGGTCTGGGGCTTCTTCACATGGTCCCCAAACAGAGCTTGTCTAGAGGGAGACACAAAGGCAGACAGAGAAGGACACGCGGGTGAGAAACCAAGCAAATCCCACGCACACTGGAAACACCTCCCATCTCATCGCCAGGGCTCCACAGCGCAGCTGGAAACCATTTTTAATTTAAAAAATGCTACAGCGGACAAGAACCACGGCCGAGCCGCTTCCTGGCCCGGAGGCAGGCAGGGGGCAGGGACAGCGCGCATCTGGGGGAGTTAGAACAGCTGCCTCCAGCCCTCAGAATTCTCTGAGGAGGAGCTGGCGCTGTTGACTTGGGAATAACTGCTGGAAGATGGGTGTCAAGACCTCATTTTCCTTCTTAGGGGCCGCTAGACAAACTCCAGATCGGTGCTGAGCCCGGAAGACTATGACCAGGCCTTCCTGGCCGGGGAGGAGGTCCCGGGCGGGCAGTCACACGTGAGTGGTGGGCAGTGGACCAAACAGCGGGGCCTCGTGTTTACATGGGCGGTGACGGTGCCCCCCTGCCAGAGCCCCTCTCCTTTTACGAGTTGTTTCTGTGCTTACCAAGGCAGACAGTAGTTAACCCACTTAACATGCGGCCAAATTAGCCCCGTGTACGCCATCAGCATCTGTAGACGCAAGCAGTGGACCTTCTCCACATGCCATGTGCGTCTATAAAAAAAAAAATTTTCCCTGAGTGGCAGCCCTGACCAACTTTAAAATCATTTTTCAGGAGAATTTTCAGCTGAAAATATTCAAGAACACCCGAATTGGGAGGAATATATGTATTTTTATAATATTCATTGCAAATTGGTTTTTTAAATTAAATTCAAAATATCGCGGCGTGTGGGGATGGTTTCTGTTTTGGACATGTGGCAGTTAACTGGTTAAGGCTCTCCAACGTGTGAGCTGCAAAGCTAATATGTACTCAGGAGAGTAATCATTTCTGTTCAGGATGACAAGAAGGGTCAAGGTCGGCGCCACGTGAACCCACCCACAGGGGCCCCATCTGGGTGTGTGGCCAGGACGGCAAGCACCACAGTGCTGGTCCTTGGAAAAAAAAGAGAGTAAATAACTGGTCGTTCAGTCAAATTGCCTTTTCTTGGATGGTGCTAAAAACACCCTAAAAATGTATTGTTGAGAGCCCATTACGTGCCAGACTCTGGGACTCAGAAGATATTGATGATCATCTTAACAGTGAGTCACACTCATATTACTCAGAGCTCCCGCACGCCGGGCCTGCTCTGAGCATTGGCCAGGGCTACCCCCCCCCCCCCAACCCAAAACCTCGCCCCAAGGCTTTTGAGCAGGAGAGGCCGGGAGCACAGAGACCTGACCCCCACAGGTGGCACCAGGCGCTGGGCTCCTGTCACACTGCTGCTCGGTCAGACGCCCAAGACCCCCAACCACAAAGCCTCCTACGGGGAGAGGTTCCTGAACACTGACCAGCTGCCCCGGGACGCCCTGGATTCACTGGGAATGATGACAGCAGCCAGCAGGGACCTGCATCTCCCCCGCCCCTTCATGTTCCCTGGAGAAGCCAGAGTCCGGCCTTTGGCCCCGCCCAAATGAGCCGAGGAAAGACTGTCCCCCCGAGGAAGGTGCCGCACCTGTGCAGAAGGATGACCTTCTTTCATGTTGTCGGCCATGAGGAAGTTGTAAAAGCGGCGGCACTGGTCCCATTGCATGAAGGCCTCCTGGGCCCTGAAAGAACCACAAGAGGGTGATGGGGTGCGTCCTGGAGAGGAAATGGGGTGCGGGGAGGCAGCAGGCTGGGGGGCTCTTGCCCCTGACAAGGGCCTGCAGAGAGCCGCAGTTTGCCGACCACTGAGCTAGAGAATCCATTTTCACACCCGATTGCTCTATAGCTGGTCCCATCACAGGCTGACAGAGGCCGCCCGGGGGACCCCAGTGGTGTCTTCATTGCTTCTGTTAATGGTGGAGGGGAGTCTGTAGACTGGATTCTATAGACTAGGATTAGTGTGTTAGAAATGAGTCTGTCCTGGCCTCGATAGTCATAATGAAGTTCAAATGATGAATTAAACTGGAGAGTGCCCTAGCCCAGCGGTCGCCAACTTTTCGGACCTCACAGACCACTAGTGGTCCTCGGACCACCGGTTGGCGACTGCTGCCCTAGCCGGTGTGGCTCAGTGGATAGAGCGTCGGCCTGCGGACTGAAGAGTCCTGAATTCGATTCCGGTCAAGGGCACATGTCCAGGTTGTGGGCTTGATCCCCAATAGGGGGCATGCAGGAGGCAGCTGATCAATGATTCTCTCTCATCATGGATGTTTCTATCTCTCCCTTCCTCTCTGAAATCAACCTACATATATAAAAGCCTAAGTGACTGTCAGACCGGTAGCTATGATGTACACTGACCACCCGGGGACAGACGCTCAACGCAGGAGCTGCCAAGCTACAGTGATTTGGCAGCTGCAGTTCTCGGGTGATGCACCCGGAACCAGAGAGGAGGAAGCCCGATTCTGGGGTGCATCACCTGAGAATCGCCCTCTCACAATCCAGGACCCCTCAGGGGAAGTTGGAGAGCTGGTTTCAGCCTGATCCCCGCAGGCCAGGCTGAGGGACCCCACTGGTGCACGAATCCGTGCACTGGGCCTCTAGTAAAAATATATTTTAAAAAAAGAATTAAAGCAGAGAGTTAGACGGAGTCTGACCACACACATTTCCAGGGCTAGTGGGCCGCCACTCATGCCGAGGGAACGTGTAGCATCCACTAGATACCAGCAGCTTAGGGCATCCGTGTCCCTTCCTCGCCAGCTCAGCACAGCTCAACGTGAGCCTGTCTGGTGGCAGCAGCTAGACTTTGCCAGTACAGCAAGCAGTGCTGGCTTTGGAGCCTTGGAAGGGCTCTAGCTAGAAGGGAGGTGCTCCTGGGATGCGAAGCCTGAGGGAGGGGATGGATGGCTGACAAGCAGGGCTATAGACTCAGTCAGGAAGGATTTGCCAGAAGCAAGACATCCCGTGTGGCCCGAGAGGCAGGCGAACTTTCCCTGCTCCTTCCTGGCAGGAGGGAAGCATGGCTGCCACCATCCCAGGGCCGAGAAGGCTCACTGCCCTCAGGCCAGGGTGGGGAAAAAGGTTACACTGGTTTAAGGTAAGGCTCTGTCCTTCAGTGAGGAGGTCTCATGCTAACGCTGAGGGGAGCTGAGCTCCGGGCAGCACCAGCACACGGGACCCTGGTGTCTCCCTGACCTGTCCCCCGACCCCGAGTGCAGGGCCCTGGGACCTTAGGATACAGTTGTCGCTTTCTCCGCTCATTGCGAGAAGTTGTGTGACAACAGCTATTCTAAGTGTGGAGATCTCTGTAGCATCTCACATTTTTTTTTTTGTTCCCTAGCTTCTTTTTAAAAAAAATATATTTTATTGACTTTTTACAGAGAGGAAGGGAGAGGAATAGAGAGTTAGAAACATCGATGAGAGAGAAACATCGATCAGCTGCCTCCTGCACACTCCCTACTGGGGATGTGCCCGAAACCAAGGTACATGCCCCTGACCGGAATCGAACCTGGGACCCTTCAGTCGGCAGGCCAACGCTCTATCCACTGAGCCAAACCGGTTAGGGCCCCTAGCTTCTTTTTTAAAAACATCTTTTTGTAAGAAATTAAAGGATAGTTGCCCGGCTGGTGTGGCTCAGTGGTTGAGCGTCGACCTATGAACCTGGAGGTCATGTTTTGATTCCCAGTCAGGGCACATGCCCAGGTTGCAGGCTCGATCCCCAGTGTGGGGTGTGCAGGAGGCAGTCAATCCATGATTCTCTCTCATCATTGATGTTTCTCTCTTTCTCTCTCCCTCTCCCTTCCTCTCTGAAATCAATAAAAAAATATATTTTTAAAAAATTAAAGTATAGTTGATATACATTATACGAGTTTCAGGTGTACAGCAGTTACTTGACATTTATATACCTTGCTGTGTGATGCTGCAATAAGTCTGTCACCCTACAAGTTATTATGACAATGCTGACTATATTTCCTTTGCTGCACCTACATCCTCATAATTATGTTTTATAATTGCACGTTTGTACTTCTGATTCCCTTCGCCGTTTTTGCTCATCCCCCACCCTCCTCTGGTAGCCATCAGTTAGGGCAGGGGTCCTCAAACTACGGCCCGTGGGCCACATGCAAATACAATTATTGTATTTGTTCCCGTTTTGTTTTTTTACTTCAAAATAAGATATGTGCAGTGTGCATAGGAATTTGTTCATAGTTTTTTTTTAAACTATAGTCCGGCCCTCCAACGGTCTGAGGGACAGTGAACTGGCCCCCTGTTTAAAAAGTTTGAGGACCCCTGAGTTAGGGTCTCAGTTTCTTAAACCTTCTTGGCCTCAGTTCCAACACCTTCGGTTGCCCAATGTGCTGATCGGGTGCTCTTGCCAACAGCAGGTGGCGCTACTGCCGCAAAATGAAAAAAGGCTGTCGAGGTGATTTTGTTCATTGAAAAAGGCAGGAAAAGAAACGTTCCACATCCCTACGTATCAAATCCACTGCTCTCTGAACACAAAGCCGGTGTTCACAGTGATTTCACAGCGCCCGGTTCAGGATTTTCCAGATGACTGAAGGCTTGCCGAAAACTGGACCACGTGGCGGGGAGAGCAGCCGAAGCTCTCGGGCCAGGCCCTGCTCCCCTAAACCCTGGGCAGGCCTCTGCTCGCCTCTCTGCTGTCCCAGGGACTGGGCAGTAGGAACTTTGGTTACTCTGGTTACAAGATGGCTGTGAACTTGGAGTTGGTTCTTTCTAGTCAAGCCAAGACCAAGGCACAGGTCCTTTCAGCTGGCCCTCCAGAGAGTAGAGGGGACAGAGAGGAGGGTCCCCAACAGGAGGAAGAGGGGGCTCACCTAGTCCTGCCAACTAGAGCTGGAGAGACCACGGAGGTCCCAGCCCAGTGACTGCTACACGTGGCTAAATATCAGGAGTCGCCGTGAAATGTGTCCACATGCGGATTCCTGGCCACAGGCTCCAGATTCATGAGTCAGAATCTCCAGGGGGAATTTACCTCTAACACAATCTCCCAAGTCAGTCTCCATGGAGTGCGATTGTCACCGTTCACCAGACTGGCCTTTGTGACCCCTGATCTGAACCGACGCTTATCTTACAGTGAATAACGATGATCGTGAGCAGTGGCTGACTCACCTTCTAATCCGTCTTACCCATCAGTAACACAGGAGACGTTATAATGAAGAGTGAGTGCAGGAAACAATATGCATGCATTTGAAGAGTTTGGAGGTGTGTGTGTGTGAGTGTGTGTGTTTGCGTGTTTGTGTGTGTGTGTGTGAGTGTGAGTGTGTGACTCGAGAGAGATCTGGGACGCCACCGATCTGGGGTTGGGGGGGGACTCTGAGCAGACACTAACCCCTCCCAGGCTCATCCTGCCGGGCTCTGCTGCCAGGAGAGCGAGGGGCGAGACAACTCTTTCCCCAGCAGGTCACCCCCTCTGTGCTGCTGCCTAGGACACCTGAGAGGAATGCTTGAGGGGGAGGCGCAGCTGAAATGACTGCCACAGATCCCTTCCAGACGCCACCCGAGACCCGACTCTTCCGTGGACAGGAGGGATCTGGGGTTGAAAGGCCCCGCCGTCGGACGCTGGTTAGCCCGTCTCCTGTGCCCTTTCCTAACCCCCTGTCGTGCAAAATTCCTGTAGCACAAACAGAGGAAGGCTTTCCACAGAAGTCCAGCTACAGATCTGGTCCTAATACAGCCGCACCTCCCAGGCTGAAGGGTCGGATAGGGCCACTCGTGTGCATGACGCGCAAGCAACGACCCAGAAACCTCCGCTCCGTCCGCCACAGCACCTCCCGGGGGCTTTGCGAAGCAGCGTCAGGTGCACTGGGGCATCTCAGCAAACACGTGCTAACGGAAGGGCCCCACGGGAGACAGGAGTGGGGGCGCGGGGTGGGGTGGCTCACCTCAGCGCGCTGTACCCCTGGCACACGCTGACGCAGCACAGGACCTTGTCTTGGTTCGCCTGTGTCTCCCCCAGGTATTTGCACACGATGTTACCGCCCAGGCTGAAGCCCACGACGACCAGCTGGGTCAGGGGGTATGTCTTCTTGATGTAGTTGACCATGGCTCCGAACTCCCAGGTGCAGCCTGTGGGCAGAAAGGTGAGGACACGGCGTCATATCGGGTGCGACAAGAGAGACTGGAGAAGCCGAAACCGGTTTGGCTCAGTGGATAGAGTGTCGGCCTGCGGACTGAAGGGTCCCAGGTTCGATTCCGGTCAAGGGCATGTACCTGGGTTGCGGGCACATCCCCGGTGGGGGATGTGCAGGAGGCAACTGATCGATGTTTCTCTCTCATCGATGTTTCTAACTCTCTGTCCCTCTCCCTTCCTCTCTGTAAAAAATCAATAACATATATTTAAAAAAACAAAACAAAAAAGAGAGACTGGAGAAAATGTGACACAGGGGTAGGGGTTACTAAACGGATGCCAAGATATTAACAGAGAGAAGTGTGTGTGTGTGTGTGTGTGTGTGTGTGTAGAGAGAGACTCAGACAGACAGGTCTCTTTGGCCCCTGGAGAGAAGTTCCCAGACTCCCCAGGATAAGAGGAAGCATGGCGTTAGTAGTGCCCGTGAAGGAAGGTACCAGGTTCACACACGTGTAATGCTCCTTCAAAGGCGGGTTGTGAGAAGGCTGTGTGGACGCGCATGGAAATCAAGAGAGGTTCAGAGAGTGCAGGAGCACACGTGTTCGCCCACAGATGAAGCAACCGCAAGAGCAAACCCTTTGGGATCAGCTTCTTAGGCTACAAACAGGACGGGGTGCTGTACCCATCTGTACAGTGATTCGTGGGGTTAAGAAAAGTACCAGGTGGCTGTTATTAACGGGATCTTCTTGGGGAGAGGGAAGGAAAGACAAGCTTCAGTCCAGAGGGATGGCCCGATGCTCTGTGGGATTAGGATCAAGTGCTCCTGGTGACGTAAGGACAGGGGGCCCAGGGAGGTGGCCCATTCAGACACACACACAGGAGACCTATGGACAGAGAGGTGTGAGGGCCTAGTTTGCCCAGGAGGAATGATCTCAAGGGGGCCCCCTGGGAAGCGGGTGAAGCCATGTTAGGTCTCAGCAGCTCTGTTTAGAGGAGCAGGTTGGTGGCCAGACATGGGTGAAGGGATGCATAGGACCCTTCTAAGGCCCGACCCCTGACTCAGCCTAAAATAAAACCTCACAGGGAACGTTAGGGGCTGTGGCAAGAAACATGTGCACGACAGACCAGCGTACAGAGAGTTTGGATTTTGTGCCTGTTTTGAAAAGTACAGATCGTTGGTCCAGCAATTACACCTTTGGGGACTTTACTCTGCAGATGTACGTACAGTACAGATGCACACGCGCGTGCAAAGATATGAGAGCAGGGATGTCCACTGCAGCCCTGTTTGTAGCAGCAAAGGATTGGAAACAACCTACATTTCCGTCCACAGAGGACTAAATTGCTGTGAAAAAGAACAACACGGAGTCTGACCTGCTGACGTGGAATGACTCCGTGCCACCTTACTGAGGGGCAAAAACAAGGGCAGAGGAGGCCTGGCACCATCGCACGTGTGTACTCGGGCTCTAAAGGGATTATATGTGCACACGTGTCTGGTTGAATGATCGCTGAACAACTATAGCAGACATTAATTTTCTGGGGAGGAGGCGGGGGGGACTGGAGTGGGACGGGACATAGTTTTACTCATGGTACAGTGGGGCCTTGACTTACGAGTGTCCCGACTAACGAGTTTTTCGAGATACGAGCCGTCTCTCGGCCGATTTTTTGCTTTGAGTTGCGAGCTAAAATTCAGGTTACGAGCCAGCTTCAGATACCCCACCGCTAGTTGGCGTAGCGAACGTCACAGTGAACGCCACAACATCAGCCCAGCATTACGTGTCTCACTCGTTCACTTTTTGATTTGACATACGAGTAATTTGAGTTACGAGCTCGGTCACGGAACGAATTAAACTCGTAAGTCGCCGAAACCGGTTTGGCTCAGTGGATAGAGCGTCCGCCTGCGGACTGAGGGGTCCCGGGTTCGGTTCCGGTCGGGGGCATGTACCTGGGTTGCGGGCATGTCCCCAGTGGGGGTTGTGCAGGAGGCAGCTGATCGATGTTTCTAACTCTCTATCTCTCTCCCTTCCTCTCTGTAAAAAATCAATAAAATATTTAAAAAAAAAAACCAAAAAAAAAAAAACCTCGTAAGTCAAGGCCCTCCTGTATTCGGACTTTTGCACTGGCTATTAAAAATAAGTAACAAGATTATTTTTAAATACATTTTAAAATAAAAGTCTTGCTTTCTCACCACCTGATTCCTTTTAGACCCATCTTCCTTTACTCGGGTTTGAGACTAATTATTTGAGACCTCGAGCAGATGCTGGGATGTCACTGGGGCAGGTACAAACCCCGGGTTTGCCACACCGCTGAGGAGCAATTACGGCTAATTGGGTTGGCACGTTGGGAGGCTCGGTGTAATTAAATGCAAACGGTCTGATCTGGATCAAGGGCCAGCCCTGCCTGATGCCGGACAAGCTGCTGGTGTTTGGTGAAGAGCTGCCGCTCTCCCCGGCCAGGACAGGCGAGGACGTGTGTCTGCCCAACCCCAGGACCAGCCTTCTCGTAGGGGCTGCGTCCTCCCCGGGGTCTCCGCCTGATGTCACTTACCAAAGCCTCAGTGTCTGCGGGCCCCTCCCTGGGCCGGTTCACTAAGAGCCTTGGCAATCTGGTTTTGAATACCAGGAGGATTTTAATGAGGTTCTAGGTATCTAATCCCTACGGGATTAGCACCAGTAACAAGATTTAGGGCTCTAATCTTGCTGCAGCTTCTTAAAGCCACGATGAAATATGAGACACTAACCTGGCCTGAGCGAGATGAGGGCGACAGGGCCACCTTGGAGAGGCAACCAGCTGGGAACAGGAAAGTCCTTTTTCCTCAAGCTCCCCCCCAAACAAAGGCAGAGTTAAGGCTGCCCGAAAGCCACTATTTCAAATGTCACTAACATGACTAAGTAGGTTCCGATGGAGGGACCTGGAGACGGCTGTTCCGTGTGGCTGGAGACTTTGAGTCATCGCTGTGTCCTGCACAGAATGGGCCTGGCACAGGGGTGTGTCTACAACGTGAGCTGGGTAAGAGGGGCATCTGAATCATGGGGCGTGAGAGCACACCAAGGCCTTGGAATGCGACTGCACTTGGAGAAAGGGCCTTTAAGATGATGACGTTAAAATGGGGTTGTTAGGTAGGCCCTAACCCAATATGACTGATGTCTTTTTAAGAAGAGATTAGGACCTTGCTGGTTTGGCTCAGTGGATAGGGCGTTGGCCTGTGGACTGAAGGGTCCCAGGTTCGATTCTGGTCAAGGGCATGTACCTTGGTTTCGGGCACATCCCTAGTAGGGGGTGTGCAGGAGGCAGCTGATCGATGTTTCTCTCTCATGGATGTTTCTAACTCTCTATCCCTCTCCCTTCCTCTCTGTAAAAAATCAATAAAATATATTTTTTTAAAAAAGAGAGATTAGACCCTAGCTGGTTTGGTTCAGTGGACAGGGCGTTGGCCTGTGGACTGAAGGGTCCCAGGTTTGATTTCAGTCAAGGGCACATGCCTGGGGGGCGTGCAGGAGGCAGCTGATCAATGATTCTCTCTCATCATTGATGTTTCTCTCTCCCTCTCGCTTCCTCTCTGAAATCAATAAAAATGTATTTTAAAAAATTAATCATGACATTAGGTGCAGAAACAAAAGCCGACTCCCTTCCCCCACCTTCAGTTTCTGCCCCTGTGAGATGGGGTGGTTCAGGGCCCGTCTGTGTGTCCCACCGTCTCTCTCTCTTTTTTAAAAAAAATATATTTTATTGATTTTTTTACAGAGAGGAAGGGAGAGGGATAGAGAGTCAGAAACATCGATGAGAGAGAAACATCGATCAGCTGGCTCCTGCACACCCCCCCCC